CGGTGCAGGGAGAAGAAGCAATAAGAGGAGAATGGGAAAGAGTGATGCGGGAAGAGAGGACACCAAGCACTGCTTTGGGCTTCTGCTCCCCAGTAGCAGCCTGGGGGCCTATCACATCATTGTTCCTGCATCCTAGGTGTTCTATAAAGGCTGTTGGAGAAGTTGTGACAGGAAGGGGTCAGGAAGTGGTGATCCAATCAGGGTTGGAACTCCTGGATTCCAGGGAATGGAAGCAACTGAGAATCGACTTTCTGGGTGTTTCGTGATAGGAACCGGCTTGAGTCCATTTGATTAGAAAGCAGTGGGTACACTGTGTCTGGAGACAGGGGCCTTGTTATGGCATCAGTGACAACTGACTGCTGTCTTAATTCAAACTGGCAGCCAGTTGTCACGGAAACCATGTTATTTGTGTGGTCCCTGATCCTGGTGATCCATTCTTGCAGACTGTTATCTGACATCCCATCTCCGCTGTCTGGCTCCACCTTTATCCCAGGTCTTCTGTCTTAGGGTGACTGAGAGTTAGAGGTGGGAAGGACACCTGGTGGGTAGCAATTGACAGAGAGAGGGGTGTGTGGTATGGGGAGAAGCCAGACTATTCTGTGACATGTGGAGGACAGCCAGGTGCACTACAACAAGCTCCCCATGTGACAAAGGGGCGGAGAATCAGAAAGTGCTGCTCTGGTCAAAGAGGCCAGTTTGCCTAGAGACATTGGAGTCTTGTAGGATGAGAGACTGAATATGACTGCTCTGTCTGTTAGAAGACCCAGGCATAAGAGCCACCACTAGCTAGCCATTCTCCAACCATGAGTACCAGGTAGCCCAAGTGAGCAAGCAGAGTACAGCTTTCCATTCACAGTCTCATCACATTCAGGGATTTTTCTTGCTACTGTCATGTCATAATTTGGCCATGCCATTAATTAGACAGCGATTTGGCACTTTCTATAATGGTCTCCGTGGGGGAAATATTTAAAGAGCTCCCCAGTAGATGTGCAAATGAGCTGTTAGTTGGGAATTCTCTACCTTTGTAACATGGCCACAAGTATAATCAAAACACCAAGCAGTTCATTCTCCTAGCTTGGGGAGGAAAGGATCTCCTCCACTCAGAAAAGATCTTATGGGCATGTCCTCAGGTACCACAGGGCACATATGCCAACACAACCCTGGTCTCCATACCTAGTCTCATCTTTTGTAGCTGTTGGTGGAGTATCGTAAAAGAACAGGTTATGGGGGGGGGGACTGTGAGGCGTGAGGTATTACAACTTTATCCTTAACATCATTGTACATCCACCCACAGTTATGAGTACCTACTATGTACAAGATATTTGCCTGATCATCAACATAAATAGCAACAAATGACTTTACAGTTTAATCTTTCATTCAAATTATGGTTTCTATATTGCACCTGCAACACACCATATACTGCTACAAGTGCAGGGGATTGCTTCCAGTGTGTGTTCTGCTTTTGAGACTGGACTTGTGATGACCTTATGTCTTTTTCCTTTCTGAAAGCCTTTATCCACACAGAACATAATTAGCTTATATGGGGCATCTCCTTACCTGTTCTATATGTATATACATTGCACGGGCACATAACTGCAGCCCATTGAAGAGAATACATGGGTTTCCATAGATTTCTAGTAGTCACTGCCAAGAGCTGTTCATCACTGCTTAGAAAAGGGCACCTTGCTGAGTAGTTATGGGATAATGTCCCCGAGAGGTCTTGAACCACATTAAATGCCTGCCAGTGGTAATGAGGACCTTGTTGAGAGTTGCAAACCAAGAGCTTTGAATGGATTTGGAATCATACTTTAAACTTTTAGGCACAGGTAAAAGGTCAGAAGCATACAGGAACCACTATCTATGTCTGTATCAATATACACTGGGATGGGGGACTGTACCAGGTTCCCCATGTATTTCCAGTAAAATACTATGTAGGTGTAAGGATAGGAAAGCACCCCTCTCCAACCTGAATGGAATACAGACAGTGCATAGGGCCTTGCATGGCTATTTAATTGTGCATATGTGACTAAGTCTGGACACGTCTTCCCATAAGACATTTTTGTAAGTGTGCATATTTGAGCAAAGTACATATTAAATGGCCACATGATAAACAGAATATGCTGTCCCATGTACCTATTGTCTAAATATACATACATACAGTGGCCATGTGTATATCCTCAGACTCTTTCTAAAGTGCATGTATACATGTTTTCTGTGCTTTTGTGATAGAGTATACCAGAGACAGTGTAATACATGCTTGGGACTACAACACAGAGCACTGTTATTGGACACATAGCTGCCAAGACAGTGTAAGAATTGTCCATATGCTCCCATCCATTGGGATGCTCAGTCTGACATTTGTTCCTTGGGTAAGTAATCTTTAGGCATGAGTGCATCACTGTGAAGGCTCCTCCCAAGTCTCTGTGGCTGGACTCAAAGGGGAGGACACTCTGCTTCCTTGCTCACTAGAGAGGCAGTGATGGCCTCTTCTCCATCTGGAGGAGCTTGGGTTGAGCAGAGATCCAGAGGTCTTCATCCTTTTTCTTCTTCTTCTTTTTCTTCTTCTTCTTGTTTTGGTCTGGCTGTTGACCACTCTTGGGTGGCCTGCTGCAGCAGCAATGGCAGCAGATGAAGAGGAGTGTAAGAACCACCACTAGGGGCAGCCCCAGGAGGACAGCCAGGCAGACGGTGTTGAAGATGCCCCTTTCATGTCTGGTCCGGATGGTTTCCCAGATAGAGTTGAAGAAGGAACTGTTTCTCTCCATGATGCTGGGCTAGTGTGCGGCCTGAGGATTCAATTATCTAACAAGCCCTGGGCTCCAGAGAACGCTGTGGTCACTTGTCATTGATTCCCCTCTTGGCTTCGGGTTTGAGCATGCCAGCAGGAGCACCTAGAGAGAGTAAAACAGACAATTCAAGAGAAATGCAGATGGATGGTCCATCATTTTCACAGTGTTGGAGGCTTTATGCTTAGAAAGGAGAATGAATCAACAATTTTTGGAGTGAATGTAATGAGTCAATAGCCATTAACCCGTTGTCATAATGAACACACATGATATTAGACTTAGGGTAAAAGAATTAATGTTATGTCAGACCTGAGCACCTAGTTCAGCAGTTGTTGGATAAATTAATCAGTGTGTATACCATGTGTTTTCTAGTTAATTCTCCCCCTATGCCCTCTCAAGTGACAAGTCTCAATCTTTTCTCAACTGTAGTTCACCTGGCAGGTGATGAATGTGTATTTCCCGTATGATAGCTTCACGTATGACTCCCTAGGATCACAGCTTATCATTTGTAATGCTTCTTAAAGCTTAAAGTAGGAGTAGAGTTCCTCTTCCTGGCTAAGACGTCCTCATCTTGCCACATCCCTGTCACCCTTACTGGGTGCTTGCTCTTTTTCCAACTCCCTAGCTTCCTTTCTCCTCACACCCTACTCCCAAATCTGGTCCTTTCTTCTTTCTGCCTTCTCCCTCTTTATCATCCCACTTGCTACTTCCAAGCAAGCCTTTCCAGCCTCTTCCCTACCTGGTCCTTTGTTCCCCAGGGAGAGAAGCCTAATAGCCCCTGGGAACTGATGCTTGGGAACAGGCATGGGGCCCATATTCCAAGCTCGGAAGATGGGCCATCCTCTTATTCTTATACAAGTTGATTCTCTTTCTTCACATCTCCCCCTGTCCACACACATGTCAGGGAGCAGCACTCAGACATAAAGTCTCAGAGGGTGTGATCAGAGATGACTTTAGGAACACATGATTCCAAAAAAGTGAGGCAACCCATTGCTGTGTTAATACATTACTCTGGACTCAAATAGCAAGAATAACTGATTTTCAGGCTGGAGACTTCTGGCCAGTTCTATCACTTAAGGATGATTATATGAGGTCTAGGGTGATGGGGGAGGCTGTCCGAGGCTACGTGAACTGTAGGGAATGCCCAGAGTTTTGGGTAATAAATCCGGCATCCTCCCAAGGACACTGACAAGCAGAGGATGATAATGATGTGAATTACATTGCATTTTACTTAGTGCTTCGCTTACAAACAGGGTCTCTATATGTCAACCAATATAGGCTTGAACTTACAATGTCCATCCATAGACTCCTGAGTGGTTGGGGCATGCTGTCTTTTAAGTGACCAATAGGATGGTGCTATAGCATAGGCTGGTGCACCAGGAGCCCTGTGCGTATCCTGAGCTCCAAATTCCAGATTAGTTCAGGTTTGGTGCTGTTGCCTGGAGCCTAAGGATGTGCTCCACATAGTGGTAGGTTACAAGGTGCCCTAGAGGAGGTATAATTCCTTGGATAATGTGCTCTATAATTGTCCCATATACTCAGTGGCCATATCCCAGCTCCACCTGGCCTGGTCTGCTGACATTTGGCCTTGATCCAAATGGTATTATTTGCACAGATTGGCACCTATAACCATACCCTATGGCCCACAGGAACTGAAGTATTGCTATAAAAGTGCAACAATGATTTTAGCCTATGTTTTTAAAGCATTTATTATGTGCCAGGTATTGTTCCAGGCACACTCTACCTATGAATTCACTTCACACTCACTCACTTAATATCATCATCCTCCATCCCTCAGCTAGAGATGGAGGCACAAGTCACAAGATACATGAGTGGCAGAGTTGAACATCCTCTTTCTGGGAAGTTTGGCTCTGGATCTCCAGTGAGTGAACTGTGCACAGACATTGCTCCGGGCCTCCTAGTCCTTTGTATGGAATTAACCCGTTTTTGGCAAGTAGCCCAGGATTTGCAGAGTCTTACAATCCTTAGCTAGTCTTCAGACTGACTTAAGCATTTATCCCATTCTACTGTAGAGCAGTCTGCAAAGAGATTGATTTCCTAGTCTGAGACACTTCCCTAATGCATAAAGACCCAGAACGAACCCAGCTCCTTCCTAAGTGCGGGCTTATAGAAAGTGTAAGCCCAAACTAAAATTCACTGTGCGACAAAGTAAAAAGGACTGTAGAAAGTCATATCCTCTCATTGGAGGCATTGCCTAAGGAAGGCCCTGCGAGGGGTGGAGACATTCCATGATGTGGATTTTGATCTGCCTACGCTCCATTTCAATTCCAAGACTCCAGGCTCCCTGGAGAGAAAAGTAACCTTCGGTGGTAACTCCACAGGGAACCCCCTATCCCATCCACAAACACACATAAGCCATAACTCCACAGTGCCCCCCCCCCCACCCCCCACACCCACCCACACACACACACACACACACACAAGAACTTCTCTGAACTTTTGTTGTCTTTTTCCCATGGCCCTTTGCGTTGCTTAGTCTTGTATACCCAGTATGTTTTGGTTTACTTAGAATAGTGGTTCTCAACTTTCCTAATGCTGTGACCCTTTAATACAGTTCCTCATGTTGTGGACAACCCCCCCCCATAAAAGTATTTTGTTGCTACTACTTCATGACTGTAAATTGCTACAGTTATAAATAATAATGGAAACATCTGATATGCAAGATATCTGATATGGGAGTCCCAAGGGGTCTCAACTCACAGGTTGAGAACCACTGACTTAAGAGAAAGTTTTCTGTTCTGTTGTGGGAGGGTTTGGGTGGTCTCCTCTCACTTGATCCCACACATAGCCATCCTGGGACCAAGGGCTCCTAGCACAGTATCTGGGACTCACATGCAGTGACACCAAGGCCACACTTACCCACAAACTGTTGTGCATCAGGGTGTGCTGGGCTCTGCAAGGAGGAGAAGGGCATCAGCCAGAGGAAGGGTCCTGGGCCATGGACAACATCAGGGCAGTTTCTAACCACTTAAAGATTCTCTTAAAGACAGACGGGATTTTGATGGAGAACTGGGCAAAAAGGACATTTAAACATCTCAGGCAGAGCAATGTCTAGAACATGCATGGAAGAACAGGCTTGCCTTCCAATGGGCCTGAAGTCCAGAGTGGGAGAGGAGGAAATGAGAAGGACGAATGACGGCTAGGATAGAGAATGGGTCTTTTGTGGGAGCTTTAGCCGTCATGGAGATCCAAGCTGACATTTAGGAAAAGATCACAGATCTGCAAAGTCCTGTAAAATATTGTAAGAAAGCCCTTTATCCATTTAACAAACATTTATTGGACATTTGATTTGTGCCAGAGTCTGTGCTGGGCATAGTAGATTCAGCAATGAATGACAAAATTATGGTTTCTGACACCAGCTTTTGGAACCCAGAGCAATTATTATTATTGAAGGATTGTGTCATAAAAGACAAATATAATAAGCAAACTCCAACTTAGATTGCTTAGTTGGCTGAAATAGGAGCATGAATTTGAGTGATATGTTTATCTCAACGTCGCAGGCTCTCCTACACTCCCACCTTTGTCTTAAACACGTCCATCCCGTGGTACCTAAAATACCCTTTGAATAAATAGATTTTTTTCAACTAAAGCTAAGTCAATAATTCACTTCTGCATTCTTAAAGGTACTTGTTAGAGTCAGCTCTCCACATAGCCAGAGAGAGTACTCATTAACGTCTGGGAACCCAGTCTGGGGAAAATTCGATTAAAAGGTATTCTTTATATTTTTTAATCTAAGAATTCTTGTCTAGGCTCCCTAGGTTACTTGCTGAGCTCTGCTAATCTATAGCATTTCATTAGTATTTATGAGCTTTGTGTTATTAGCATTTTCAGGAAACAATCAAATATCTCCTCAGTGGTATGAATGAAAAGTCAGGGCTTCCATGGGATAGTACGCAAAAGAAGTCACTGGAAGAGCCTCTCCTTTTGTTGCTTCAAGTATCACTGACAGAAATGCCATTCATCTATTCTTGTAAAGTGAACAATAGGTGCCCATCAATCTTCCCGTGTGTGCTTGTGGGGGTGGGTTTGAGAGAGAGAGAGAATAGGACAACGTTACCTCAGTTCCCTAGAAACAAAATATCATTAATTTCTACAATCCTCTGTAGTATCTGGCTAGGAAAAGAGCTATTCACTCACTGATGTTTATCCACAAGCTTCTATCTGCCCGAGTGTGAGGTGATGAAGGGGAAAAGTGATACCAGAGCCAGAAGATTTGAGCCTCAGATTAACCTGTATGATTAGGGAAAGTTATTGAACCTCAACTACAAAATGAAGCTCATCAGCATCTCTATGATGCTATGCGGATCAGAACACCTCACCCTATTTCATGCATGCTGTAAACTGCGGAATAGACAAACAGGAACCATGAAACAGCAGGTTATCTCCGATAATGACAGGTTGATTCCAGCTTTGAGTTTTGGCTTCCCATCCTTTACCTCCAAGCCTGGTCCTCATTGTTAAAGAGGCACCACCCCAAAAGCTGGTCCCAAGGGAGGAGGCTTCCAGGTCAGGTCCAGCTCAGGGGCTTCTGGACCCTGTGTCTGAAGTATATGATGTCTGCAGCAACAAGGACTTACTTCCCATCTCTGGGAGGAAACAAAGGGCAACAGCAATAGTCTGTACGACTTGTAAGTCTCTTGGGCAGCCTTGGCCAACAACTCAGAAGAGGGCTTCTAATATCCGGTATTGGGGTTTTTGTGAGGTGGTCTTTGGCTCTTGGAGGGAGCATTGTAAACCCAGATGGGAAATTTTCATTTAAATTACATATGCATATTTATATACAGATGTGTATATATAGGTTTGTTACGATAAATCTTTCTGCCAAAAGCCGCCTGAGCCCCACTGCCATGGGTGAGCTTTATGCCAGCCACAGGCCTGAGTTAGGGCCCAAATGAATACACAGAAACTTGTATTAGGTACAATGCTGCTTGGCCAATGACTAGGATTCTCATCTGTTAGCTCAGTCTTAACTATCATAAACCTATATATTTTATAAGACTTATCTTATCGGACGTCTTGTTGGCGTCCCTCTTTGTCAGTGGATCACATTGTGCTGTTGGAGCAGGAGCGGAGGGGAAAGAGGAACCCTTCCTGTTTCTCTTTCACTTAAATATGAGTCTCCTTGCAATGTCACTTCCTGCCTGGAGCACCACTTCTCTACTACATTTCCCAGAATCCTCTTTGACTCCTAGTCGCGTCTACTTGCTGTCTTATGGGCCAAACAGTATTTTATTTAACAATCAATAAGATAAACATACACAGAAATACTTTCCCCATCATTGTTTTTTTTTGGTTTTTGGTAGATTGTTACTAGTATGATTCCTTATATTTTTTCAGACATTGTTACTGTTATATTACTCTCTTATATTTATCTCCCTCCTCATTTCCAATTAGTGCCCCTTCCATTTTTCTTATTGTTGCCATCAGATTATTTGTACCTTGCTATTCCGCTCTCTATTTTTCCCACACTCCCACCCCAGAAGTGGTCCCTTTTCACTTTCCTAGTTTCTGCAGTTACTCTAGGCTATGTCCTCACATCTGAAGATTTGGAGCTAGGAGCCTCAGATGGGAGAGAACATGTGACGTTCGTCTTCCTGAGTCTGAGTTACCTCATTCAATATGATCTTTTCTAGTTCCATCCATTACCTGTAAAGTTTATGAATTAACTTTTGTTAAGAGCTGGGTAGTTTTCCATATGTACAACAATACCAGAAGAACTTCCAAAGGAGGGAGGCAACCCAGCCAACAGCCTTATCCAGCTGTGACACCTATGGACCACAACAATGATCGGCATGACACAACAAGCAAAAGGGCGCAGTAGTGGCACACATATATTGGTGGAAACCAACAGTTTCCTAAATTGGACTCAAGACCCACTCAACAGGAGGCAAACCATGCCTGGTACTGGAAACCTAGCTGACTACCTGGGGCTAGTGAAGTCATGGATCTTGGAGGAGAACCAATGGCTGTAACTTTACTAAACCAGCACAATCCCCGACAAAAGAGTTAGTGATCTAATAGCCTCATGTGGGCTGATAAACACAGGGCAGAGGGTTGATTCGACTGATAGCACTGACTGACTGTCAGGATCTGGGAAGCTCCTGATAAGGGAGTCCAAAGGATGGTGTATCCTCCTAAACAGAGGAATTTGTCTTTCTTCAGAAAACATCCCCTCCTGACATGGTGACCATATTGGAGAGGTTATATTCTGTCTTTTATTTCCACATCATCTCACTCAATCTGGTTCAAAGCTAACTACATTAGAATTATTTGTTCTTATACCCACATATAGTAATCCTCACCCTTAATAAAAAGAGACAATCAAAACAAACAAAAACTCCTGTTCTTTGCAACAGGTGGAGACCATTATTGAAATCCAAAACCAATCAAAATGCAGAGAGTTCCAATGGATACATCTATAATACAACTCCCACACCTAAAGCTCAAGGATCATTGTGGAAGAGGGGTCAGGAAGATTTTAAGAGCCAGAGGATCGGGGAGTTTGTTGGGAGAGTGTGTCTTTACAAATTTCAGGAACCACACACATAAAATCTCACCAACATGACAGCCTTAAAATGAGCTGAAGGACAAAAATAATGGTTATGCTAAAGTGTATGGAGAAAGCCCACAAGGCCTCAACCCTACACAAAGAGCTACAGCCAACTAAGGAATTCAAAGAGCAGTAGAAGTAGTTTTTCCCAGGGAAGAGCACACCAATTAGTTATCCAATACCAAATGGTCAGCCCTGAAAACGTATGTACAAATAACATACAGCAGCGGTTCTCAACCTGTAGGTTGTGGCCCTTTGGGGTCAAACAACCTTTTCATAGGGGTCACCTAAGACCATTGGAAAACATAGATACTTACATTATGATTCATAACAGTAACAAATTGCTATTATGAAGTAGCAATGCAAATAATTTTATTATTGGAGGTCACCACAACCAGAGGAAGTGTATTAAAAGGGTCGCAGCATTAGGAAGATGGAAAACCACTGTTATACAGACTGAGAATGTTGTAGTTATGTATTATATAACAATTAATGAAAAAAAGGGCATGGATTTGAAAGAGCAAGGAGAGGGATATGGGAGGGTTTAGAGGGAAGAAAGGGAAGGTGAAATGATGTAATTATAATTTCAAAAATAACAAAATTTATAAAAGAAGCCCCTAACCCCACCAAGTGAAAGGGGCTTCATGAGGGGCTTCCTGCTTGCTGCCAGCCTGCAGGTCTATGCCTTTAATTCTAGACAGGGGAGAGAAAGGTCACATGAGGGAAACTTGCTGGTGTTTAGAGGACCATTGAGCTCACAGGTGAGGCTTCAGGACAGTGACTGGCATTTGCAGGTCCAAGCCTTGCTACTAGGCTTTGGGACCTGTGAGAGTGAGTACATGGGCGTCATTCATTCCTCAGAGAGGGTGAATTGAATTGAACCTCTGAGAGCCGAAAGCTGCTGTAGGGCGGTGTCCAGGGCTGTGCACAGGCTGGTGTGTGCTGTGAGAGCCTTGGGTTTTAGGTAGAGCTGGGCTACAATGAGTCTGTACTCCATAGAAAAGCTGTCATGCAGGTATGGGAAAACAGACTGGAGAGGTGAACGTGGGGAGACCATTCCAGATGTTTAGAGAGAATGGTGACAGGACAGAGGATGATAGTGGTGGAAGGGTGGGACATAAGGCCTGGCTCAGAGTTCTCCAGATGGAGAGAGAGGAGGAGGAGAGAGAAGAGGAGAACTTGCAAGACATGAGAAAGTATTCCTGAACTCTACATTCCTTCTTCTAGCTCCTACTCCTATGAGGAGTCTGAATGGAGGGGTGTGTGTGTGTGTGTGTGTGTGTGTGTGTGTGTGTGTGTGTGTGTGTGTGTGAATTTTCTTTTTTCCACAAAGAAGAAGAATC